TGTGTGTGTGTGTGTGTGTGTGTGTGTGCGTGTGTGTATGAGTGTGTACGGACCCCTTTAGGTGAAAACACTCCAACAGTTCCTCCATCCTCTTTAATGGACACTCCCATCTCTGCCAGAATCGACTCCCTGCACACAGGAAACACAGCGGTCACATGACCATCTGAGCATTTACATCATGCTCAGAACTGAATTTGAATTCGAAGTCATTTCCACTCCGTTTTCAGGGGCACTGCGACATTTTATCATGCTGAAATATATTGAAATAAAAAATAACATGAAATATAAAACTCAATATAAAACTAATCTCTTTCACCACCATCTGACTTCATCCTTAAAAAAATAAAAATAAAAATGTTGCTTCTCTTTACTGAATCCCTAGTCTAGCTTGTACTTATTAGAACAATGCCTGCAACTTGTTCTGTGTCTATTTGCCTCTTTAAGATGAATCACTAGATGTATTCCCCAAATTTGGATAAAAGCGTCTGCTAAATGAATAAATGTAAATGTAACAATTTATTCAAGTAAATCCTCAAATTGTATTTTATTATACATTACTTTGTGCTTGTAACTGTAATATTAATATTTCTAATCAAACACAGCCCCATGCTGGAATTATTCATGGCAAAAACAAACAAAAACTAATCTGACAGATCAGCACTAAACTTCACGTGTCAATTTTGCTGCTTGATATTACAAATTGGTGTGGCTTTCCATATTATTTTAATGTATTATCTTAATTATGAACACACTGGCTTGTAATGCAAACAGTTTACCGTTTACTGCACTTCGTTATTTCCCTACAGCAGCTAACGAACCAGAAGTCTCACACATTCACAGAAAACGGCTTACGTGGATAGCGTTTATTATTTATGAATAATAAGATGATAAACAAAAATTTAAAATAAAAAAAACAATATTTCATGTACACAATTATTTTTTTGTGTTTTTTGTTCAAAACCACTTGCTAGAAGCTCTTTTTTTTTCACAGAAGCATTTATTTTTCAGCTAATAAAATATTTTGTGTCCATTTATTTATTTGTTGACTGTCATCTGGGGTTTAGGGACAGACCTCAGACAGTAAAACCAGTGTGCTTTACCTCTCCAGGCGTATAGACTCGGTCTTCCTCAGCTTCTCCTCCCACGTCTCATTCAGCTCAGCGATGATCTTCTCTGTTTCCTGCGCACGCACACACACACACACACACACACAAAAGTTTGTGTCTGAGCACAGGATAGTGATTATTTCATGCTCCGCCCACCACCATAGCCCCGCCCTCTCGTACCTTCAGTCTCTCCACTGCCTCCTCATTGGTAATCATCTCGCCCTGAAATTCTTCTAATTGGCCATGGCCATCCAGAGAGGCGGGGTCACTCTCAGAGGCGGGGCCTTCTCCTGGGACAGGCGCGGATGTGGGTGGAGCTCCATTGGAGGCGGGGTTAGCAGGCATTAGAGTGACGCCCACATGGTTATTATTGACTTCAGCAGCTAAAAGACGAATAGAGACATTTTAAAACTAGTGCTGTCAAAATTAGCGTGTTAACACAGGCGATTAATTTTCCCAGTTTAATGGCGTTAAAAATATTTAACGCAGTTAATGCAGGGGTGTAGTTAGGGTTGGCCACCCCACTCACAACTGCTGCTTCTGAAGGGCACAGGTAAATATGACATTTATTATAATGGGTTTATGTGAAGATTGTTTTAAGTTCACTTAAATTAGAAGTTATTTTTTAAAGTCTAATAAATGGGTTATTATTGACTTCAGCAGCTAAAAGACGAATAGAGACATTTTAAAACTAGTGCTGTCAAAATTAGCGCGTTAACACAGGCGATTAATTTTCCCAGTTTAATGGCGTTAAAAATCACCCTTTACTTTAACTACCAAGTCTCATTACATTCAGCTGTGGCTCAATTACCTTGTTAACTCATCCACATATAAGCCCGGTTCTAAAATTGACAGCGCTCAATTATACTGTAATGTTAGTATAGTCAACATTACATATAGTGTCACAGTGTCTAGTTGGTGTGCCCATGTATAGCCACCAGAGGGCACGCTTCTTAGTTTTGTTTGTTTCTCTGGACTTCAGTTCCCATCACCCTTTGCTTTGACTATCAAGTCTCATTACATTCAGCTGTGTCTCATTTACCTTGTTAACTCATCCACATATAAGCCCGGTTCCCTTTGTCTTTGGTTGCTGGTTTATTGTTTTCTGTTATGTGTTTCTGTTACTCTGTTTTGCCCTGATTTGGATTTTACTGTTTGTTTTTGGACTCTTTAATAAATGCTGCATTTGGGTATTCTTGTTTTGGAGTACTCCGTGACATATAGTCAATGGTTAAACATTAGGAAAAAATAAAAATTTTATATAGACACCAGTAGTATTGGTATCAGTGATACTTGCCTTCAGTTATAAGAAAAGATGCCAACAAACAAATTTTAAAAATATACTGTCTATGTTGTTTTTAGCTTAATTTGAAGATTGAATGTGAAATTATTGCAATATAAAAGTATATTTAAAAACTTAAATGCTAAGTGGGATTAATCGCGATTAATTTCAGAAAAAATGTGATTAATTAGTTATAATTAATTTTTTTTAATTGATTGACAGCACTATTTAAAACATGACTGTGTAACAAACATTTATATTTAAAACTCTTAAGTGTGTAGTGTGTGTGTGTGTGTGTGTGAGTGTGTGTGTGTGTGACTGTGTGTGAGTGCGAGTGTATGTGACTGTGTGTGTGTGCGTGTGTGAGTGTGAGTGTGAGTGTGTAGGTGACTGTGTGTGTGTGTATGTGACTGTGTGTGTGTGTGTGTATGTGACTGTGTGTGTGTGTGTGTATGTGACTGTGTGTGTGTGTGTGTATGTGACTGTGTGTGTGTGTGTGTATGTGACTGTGTGTGTGTGTGTGTATGTGACTGTGTGTGTGTGTGTGTATGTGACTGTGTGTGTGTGTGTGTATGTGACTGTGTGTGTGTGTGTGTATGTGACTGTGTGTGTGTGTGTGTATGTGACTGTGTGTGTGTGTGTGTATGTGACTGTGTGTGTGTGTGTGTATGTGACTGTGTGTGTGTGTGTGTATGTGACTGTGTGTGTGTGTGTGTATGTGACTGTGTGTGTGTGTGTGTATGTGACTGTGTGTGTGTGTGTGTATGTGACTGTGTGTGTGTGTGTGTATGTGACTGTGTGTGTGTGTGTGTATGTGACTGTGTGTGTGTGTGTGTATGTGACTGTGTGTGTGTGTGTGTATGTGACTGTGTGTGTGTGTGTGTATGTGACTGTGTGTGTGTGTGTGTATGTGACTGTGTGTGTGTGTGTGTATGTGACTGTGTGTGTGTGTGTGTATGTGACTGTGTGTGTGTGTGTGTATGTGACTGTGTGTGTGTGTGTGTATGTGACTGTGTGTGTGTGTGTGTATGTGACTGTGTGTGTGTGTGTGTATGTGACTGTGTGTGTGTGTGTGTATGTGACTGTGTGTGTGTGTGTGTATGTGACTGTGTGTGTGTGTGTGTATGTGACTGTGTGTGTGTGTGTGTATGTGACTGTGTGTGTGTGTGTGTATGTGACTGTGTGTGTGTGTGTGTATGTGACTGTGTGTGTGTGTGTGTATGTGACTGTGTGTGTGTGTGTGTATGTGACTGTGTGTGTGTGTGTGTGTCTGTGTGTGAGAGTGAGTGAGTGAGTGAGTGTGTGTACCTGGAGCAGTGACCAGCCGGCTCAGTCCTTGTGACAGCAGCAGTTCTCTGAGTCGGTTCACTTCCTCCTTCAGTTCTCTGATCAGACGAGCATTTGGATCCTCGTTAATTACAGCGTTACAGCGGATCTGCTTAGCACGGTCAGCATATCTGCACAAACACACACAACATGAAGCACTGAAGAGTCACACAGCTGGATGGTTCATCGATTGATTGATGATGTACCTGAGAGTGCTGAGTGTTTCCTCATAATTAATATCTGCAGGACTGAGAGCAGCGATCATAGCCGTACGAGAATTACCACCTGAAACACAAACACACGCTTCATAACCACAACTCTACGTGTGTGTGTGTGTGTGTGTGTATTAGTGTTGTCAATCAAATTAAAAAAAATTACTAAATCGCACATTTTTCTGAAATTAATTGTCATAAATCCCACCTAACATTAAAGTTTTTAAATATACTTTTATATTGCAATAATTTCACATTTAATTTTCACATTAATGTAGAAACAGCATAAAGACAGTATATTTTTTAATATTTGTTTAATGACATCTTTTATTTATGACTGAAGGCCAGTATCATACCATATGATACCAATACTACTGATGTCTCTATAAAATTGTTTTTCCCCCTAATATCTAACCATTGACTACAGATATTCAACATTACAGTATAATTGAGAGCTATCAATTTTTACATTTATTAGACTTTAAAAAAATAACTTCTAATTTAAGTGAACTTAAAACAATCTTCACATAAACCCATTATAATAAATGTCATATTTACCTGTGCCCTTCAGCAGAAATATAGCCTACAGAAACTGAAATTGAAGTTATCAAACACTAAATTCTAAATTAAATATAGATGAATCCTTAAAGCTATAAAAGTTCTTTATTTCCCCTTTTTTCTTTGTCCTTTGATTAATAGACATCACAGCAGCTGGTTATTAGGTTGTTTTGGCTGCTATTACTTTAAGAGCTGCCGCTGCTGAACGTGACGCAGATCTCAACTCTTTTTACCTTTTCTGACCCACTTCAGGTCTTAAAGTCTCTACTAATGAGCTAACGAGTTAAATCGGGTGTTAGATGAGTGAGACAGTGCTGGGCTGCTCCGGGACAGTTTTGAAAACCATTTAAGAGACATGTTCTTAAATGTGACTCATATAAAATATATTACATGCATGCACAGTTTTAAGGCAGCTTTAATCGCTTTTTTGGTAATTTCATGACTTAAATGACCACGACATTGCATGCACGTAGTTTAATTTGTGAATTGATATGAAACGATACAGGCTACAGCGCGCACCGGCACCTTTGTGCGTGCAATTGAAGAAGAGCACGTGCTGCGAGCACAGTACCGTTTCCGCGTTCGCTTGACTCGCGCTGCCGCTGAAGGGAAGTGGAGTGCGGTTTGATGTGCTCTCCGGTTTGATGTGCTCGTAAAGACGTTCTGCGACTGAATACATGCACTTCTTGCCAGGGGAAAAATGACAGAAACAGCAGTTGTGAGTGGGGTGGCCAACCCTAGCCCCGCCCCTGCGTTAAAATTAATCGCCTGTGTTAATTCGCTAATTTTGACAGCACTAGTATGTATATGTGTGTGCGAGTGAGTGAGTGAGTGAGTGAGTGAGTGTGTGTGTGTGTGTGTGTGTGTGTGAGTGAGTGTGTGTGTGTGTGTGTGTCTTACCCAGGTTCTCCTTCAGTATCCAGGTAAGCACCGAGTCTCTGTATGGGATGAACTCACTTTTCCTTCTTTTGCTGTTTTGCTGTTTGTCACAAACGCACACCATTAAAATACAGCAGAAATAAAGATCATGATGACTAACAGAAACACTCAACATTACAGTCATTTCACAGACTTCAAATGGTACATAAATAAACCGCTAGCTTCTCTCTAACAGGAAGTTCATCTCAATATAAACCCATATGAGTCATTCAGTAAAGCGTCTCACCATTTCAGCCAGAGCGGAGATGACCTTCCCCAGCGTGGTGAGAGATTTATTGATATTAGCACCTTCCTGAAGGACAGAGGAACAGGGTTTGTGTGAGAGAGCGATGGAGACGCTGAGTCTTCATTACAGATGTGAACATCAGTTTTAGTACCTTTAATCTCACGCCTTTGGCTCCAGAGGAATCAGCTCGCTCACTGCCCGCCAGATCCACCAGACTCACCTTACTGACCTGAACAGAGAGACACGTCAACAACACACACACACACACTCAGACACACTCACACACACGCACGCACGCAAGAGTTAAACACTGGTGTGGTTTGTACCGGGCCTTGTTCCCCACGTCCATGAGGTCTCTGATGTCAGTGTAGGACGTCACAGCGAGTTTGGACAGGTCCTCGACATACGGCCCCATGATGGGATGCTCTCGCACCCGCAGCGCTCCTTTACTCTTGGGGCTCAGCAGATCCCGCACTCGCTCGCAGTAGATCTCCATATAGGACACCTGAACACACACACACACACATCACATTCATCTTCTCCACTGACACACACACACACACAAACACACACACATCACATTCATCTTCTCCACTGACACACACACACACACACACACACATCACATTCATCTTCTCCACTGACACACACACACATCACATTCATCTTCTCCACTCACACACACACATGACCTTAATCTACAAATGTGCTTCTCAAACTTTTTTTAATTTGACGGCTCCTTGATGTGGACTATTTTCAATATTTCAGTAATTATGACAAAGCTGCCTGTTTTCAATTTTTTTTATTGTCAGAAACCGGGAGCATTGATATATTAAAATATAATATATATTAAAAAAAACTATATTATCACCCAGCTCTAATCTGCTAAATGCAACTATAAGGCATGAAGATATTAAGATATTATCAACATTCATATCATTATTTTCTGCAAAGCTGCTTTGAGGCAATGTGTATTGTGAAAAGCACTATACAAATAAATTTGTCTTGATGACTTGAAAATTTATTTTCATTATTATTCAAAACAATGAACCTTAAGTCATGCTTTTCAGATCTAGTGCGTGCGTGCATCTAGGGGAAGTCGTGGCCTAATGGTTAGAGAGTCGGACTCGTAACCCAAAGGTTGCGGGCTCGAGTCTCGTACCGGCAGGGATTGTAGGTGGGGGGAGTGAATGTACAGCGCTCTCTCTCACAGATATTATAAACATTAACATCATGATTTTCTGTAAAAGCTGCTTTGAAACAATGTATGTGCGTGAAAAGTGCTACAGTATATAAATAAATTGGACTTGATTAATTTTGTGACATCAGAAGTTTAAGGAACTTTGTTCTTCAGTTAAAAACAATAGTTATTGAATGTTTTTTTAGCATTTTAATTTTAAGTTTATTTTAATATATTAATAATATATATTAATTACAATGAAAAATATATATATGTGTGTGTGTACATATACATACAATAATACTGATATATTTATATACATATAATATAATTTTATAACCTAATATGACAGTGTGTTATATCCTAGTGTTTAAATCATATTTAATTTAAGGACTCACCATGAAATGTCTGTGTTTGCTTGATAAAATATGATTCCAGACTTACCGAGTGCACCAATGGTTACAGTGTTAACGTCCTTCTAGTCATGTTTTCAACTATTTCTTTAAATGTGACAAACATTATCATAGGATCGCAGAAGTTTTACTATTTTTTAATCAAGTTCAAAATATTTTTTCACACTGATTCAGTTTCAAAATATTTTTAATTGAATAAATTTTATGTAAAATAAATACACATTTAATCTCAGAATGTGTTGTTTACGATCTTTAAATTATATCATATATATCTGCCACCAGTCGTCCTGCTCACTATGATATCGGCTTCAGTGATCAAAGCCAGTCATGTGTGTGTATGAGTGATGTGAGGAGTGTGTAGCAGCACCTCGACGGAGTAGGACAGATCAGGATCGGTGTTCTCACTGGTGCGCTTGAACAGATCTTCACACATCTGCAGAGACACACGTCACACCTTAATCAGACACACTCACAGAAGCACAGCAAAACAACACGCTCACTGAATTCAAACTGATTGAGTGAGTGTGTGTGTGTGTGTGTGTGTGTGTGTGTGTGTGTGTGTGTGTGTGTGTGTGTGTGTGTGTGTGTGTGTGTGTGTGTGTGTGTGTGTGTGTGTGTGTGTGTGTGTGTGTGTGTGTGTGTGTGTGTGTGTTGAGTGTGAGAGGTGTGTGTGTTTATAATTATAGACTTTAGAAATTATAGACTCAGCCGAACACACAAGCACTCTTCTTCATGAGTGTTTGAGTGTGCGGATAAAAACTAGAGTAGAGCGCCATCTGCTGTTAAAATCTAAGCTCCAGAGCCACAGGAGCGCAGACAGCAGCAGTAAACAGCAGCGCGGGATCTTACCGTGCTATGAGACCAGTACGAATAGTCAAAGCTGAAGTTCTTGGCTGCTTCTTTGGGCTGTTTGGGGTTCCAGATGCCTGTGAGACGACAAACACAACAGAGTGAGACGCTTAGTGACTCGCTGAATGAATCAAACGTTTAAATGATTCGTTTCAATCGCAGTGACTCACTTATTAACAGTGATTTGCTGCCACCTACTGGTGGTTTTAATTTCACATTTAAAGTATCTTTTTATTATTTATTGCAGGTTAAATGCATTCATGTCCTGCATTAAACAGTGTGTAAACACATCTAAACGCCTCTTCAGTCTTCAGACGTGTGTTTCCTCTGCGCTGCAAAGATGAATTTAGTTGATACTGATTTCATTTGTTTGGTAATTGGTAACAGGACTTATTCTAACTGACTGATTAAATGTAAGAATTTGACTCAAAAGATGATCCACACTTTTAGAAAAAATGGCTTTATAAAGGTAAAAATGCCCATAAAAGGTACAGATCAATTTAAACTCATTGAAAAAGATTAGCTACTTTCTATCACTGCTGTGAACTGACCACCCCAGCACACAGAATATCAAACACTTCAGTAGTCAGCTGTCCACGGCAGTCCTTAAGATAACAGCACAATAAGCACAATAACATATCATCTAATTATCGTTATCGATAAAATACCAGAAAATATAGAGATATTATTTTTTGTCAATATCGCACGTGCGATATTAACAAAAAATAATATCTCTATATTTTCTGGGATTTTATCGATAACGATAATTATACGATATTTTGCTGAGTGTGTTATTGTGCTGGTACCTTAAGGACTGCCGAAGACAGCTGACTCCTAATGTTTTTAATATTCTTCATATTCTGTGT